GCACCCGGGACAAAGCTATCAATGCAGGCAGCCAGGTGTAAAATAATAAAGACAATCGTATAAAGTGAAATCTCTATATAAAGCCAAAATAACATGGGCATAATTAATGACTTTCTCATCAACCCTTGTATTTTTTTTTTCCTTTTTGGACAGATTTCATTTGCAATCTCCTTCCTAACGTAGCCTGAATTGCATTTGGAAGTCAAGACCTTCCAGTGGCTGGCACACTACTCCTCTAAACTGGTCTGGACTCAAAAGCCCTACCAGATAACTTTCTTCAAGTTCTAAGTCCCACGTCATGAAGACAATGTATTTGGTCATTTTGCCTGTGCTGTTGGATTGAATGCAGAGCATGGTGGTAGTTTTCTAATCTGGAAAATGACCAATAATAATAGTACACACCTTATAAGGCTCTGTGGAGGCTGAATACCGTAACATATACCAACTTGGCAGATACAGTCAATACATGGATAGACGGATGGTGATTTTTTAAAAAATGTCAAAAGAGAGGTGTAAAAAGCCTCTTGAGAAACATAAAGGAAGGGTTCTCATTTGCTTATGAAACACATCTTTCCTGAGCAACTACATTACACCGGGCATGGAAGTTCGTCCTCCAAAGCCCATGCAGTTCTCAGTTTAGTGGAAGGGCGGTAAAAAAAAAGACAGCTATAATATAGACTATTAAGAGCTGGGGTCAGAGCGAATCACAGGGAGCTGAGTAAACTTAAATCAGGGACGCACTACACAGCTGGGGTTTCTGCAGGCTTGCCAGTACCGGAGGTTACATTTTCAGGAGGAGATGTCTAAGCGAAGAGCTGATGGGGACAAATGCTGCAGCAGAGAGGGCAAAAGCATACGCCAGGCTGCAGAGAGCAGGTACAATCTTGTTCTGGATTCAGAAGAGAAGGTCCATGTGGACCTTTGTGTCACTGGTCGGAGGGGGCACGCACAGAGGAAGGGCAGGAACACGGCAGAGGTTGGATCATGAAGCACCCTGTGTGTAGACCAAGAGGGTAAATTTCACCCAAAAGGCTAGGAGGAGACACTTGAGGATTATAGCAGGGGTGTGACATGACCGGGAGGAGACACAGAGGCTGAGCCATGTGGTAGACAAATGATAAATGCCCGCTTCCTGGCTGGCTGACTCATGGGCTGAACGGATGAATGGATTACGAGTGTATGAATAAACTAATGAATGAAGGAGTGACCCATCAGTCTTGCCACCTTCAAGCGATAGTTGGAGAACAGTATTATGACATAAGAGACCCAAACAGAGCAGGCACTGTGTTTTCTCTACTGGTAATATGAGGTCTGGTGACACATCCATGAGATGGAAAGGATCTTGAATCATGAGATTGTCACTTCCCGAGGGACCAGGGGTCTTACTAATCTAACACAGGACTCTCTAAGTTTGCAGAAGCAGCAGCTGAGACCTCAGGCTTCCAGCCCGCGTTTGTTTTCCCTCCTGTAAGAAGTTGTTGTTCAAATGCAAATTAAAACCAGCTCCTTCGCATCCGGAGAAGGAAACTTAGATTTGGATTTGTGTATAACTGCTGGATGTTTCAGCTTAATAAACCTAATTAGGAATTACAGAGATTATGATTAAACACATTAAGTGATTAATAGCATTATGCTGCTCATGTGAAAATTAAAATTAATCATCTTTAGTCAAACAGGACTTTGGAGAAATCTTTGCGTTGTTTCCTTTGATAAAAACATACAACATTCAGTTAATCATTTTGCAGTGTGCGCTTACATACCAATGCGCATAACTCTTGCTCTGGATACCTGTGCGTTAACAACTGGTTTCTAAAGAGAACGCGTGAAATAAAAACTAAACCCAAATTATTTCTGACGTTGTAGGGGAATGGGAAGGAAAGGGAAGTGGAGGACTGTCAGGATCCAGAGGTTGAGAAAGAAAAACAGAAACAAAAACGATCTTTTAGATTGAACATGCCGGCTGCTATGGTGCAATAGGACACAAAGATGGGATGGCAGTGAGGACCAGATGTGGAGGGGAGGTGAACAAAATAGCTACTCCAGAGCATCAATCACATTAGGAGTCAAGAGACCCGGGGGGGGGGGTGCCTTCCTGACCCTCCTCTTGAGTATTTCAGGCTGTGAGCTTTCTTTTGTGCTGGGAACTTCCTGGGAAAACCTATTCAGAACATCCCTGTGGGTGGGGAAGGTAGAGTTCAGTGGTAGAACCCGTGCTTAGCATGCATAAGGTCCTGGGTTCAATCCCCAGTACCTCCATCAAAAGTAAATAAATAAACCTAATCACCCCTGCCAGAATTCACAAACAGAACATCCCTGTGTTTTCTGTCCCTCCACTAGTTTCCTAAAATATTACCAAAAACCTGGTGGCTTAAAGCAACAGAAATTGATTCTCTCCCAGTTGCAAGGGGCAGAAATGCACAATGAAGGTGCCCTCAGGGCCACGCTCCCGCCGCAGGCTCCGGGGGAAGCCCTTTCTTGCTCTTCCAGCTGCTTTTGGTGGCCTCTTGGCTCTGTGGAACCGCACTGCTCCAACCTCTCATCTTTGTTTGGCCTTCTTCCCTCTGGATGTTTGAGTCTCAGATCTTCCCCTGCCTTTTTCTTCTTACAAGGACATTAGACATCGGATTTTGAACTCACCCTAAATCCACAATGATCTCATCTTGGGATCCTTAACTTAATTACATCTGTAAAGACCTTTTTTTTTTTTTCCAAATAAGGTCCCATTCCCAGGTTTACAGAAGTCAGGACATGGACATATTTTTGGAAGGCCATCATTCAACCCACTACGTCCCCTGTTAAGCAAACATACCAGAAGTGCTCGTAGAATGAGTCGCTGTTATCCAGGGAGTGGCTGCACTTTTCCCCATTTCAGGGGGCATGAGGATCTCAAAAGGGTTGGCCTCAACCCAGATCCAGAAGAAAGGACAACATCCCCACTAAAGCTGCCCCAAGGCTCTCACTTGTCACTCTGGTCACTCTCACGAGTTCCCTAAAATGAGAAGAGACTCAAGTCTTCCCTTCCAAGGCCGGGCTCCCAGCCCGCCTGCCTGCACCGGCATCTGGATGCAGTGACGCCCTTCAGCTGGGCTGAGAAGTGCTCCACCAGCCTCCTGAAGGGCCAGCAGCACTCAGAGGATGAAAATTGCCCTGCAGGTTCCCCACCCACGTGGGTAAGCCTCTCAGAGAACTCCACTGAAGCTTATGTCAGAAGCACAGGGTGAAATTTCTAAAGACAAATAAGTAAAATAATGGGAAAAATCTACAAAACCTACACAGGGTATGAAATACCTCAGATGTGTCTTTCTGAAAGGCAGGGACTACCTGGTTTGCCATTACATTCCCCAAGGCGTATGTATGCCTGTCAAGGCTTAGTG